TGGTCACGCCCTCTCCTTGACCTCCTCAAACTAATACTTAAAAAAAAGAATACAAATTAAATCTCTAGCTCAGAAAACTAGAATAATAATAACAAAATAAACCAAAAAGAAAGCCAAAACAAAGAGATAATAAAAGAAAGGCAAAACATAAAAAGAAGAGAATAGAAAAACAGTACCTTTAGTTAATCAACCTAAACCTTTTTATAAATAAATATTTTAAAATACACAACCACAAGCTAGCTAATCATTTGGAGGACTAAAAGGAAATATGGATTAAAGTGAAAGATTTTCTAAAATATAATGACAGTGTGTGCAGGTATATGTATATTTGTGTGTATGTGTTTCCACAAATGTTTGGAAATTATGTAATGCAATTCTAAATTAAGAATGGACAAAAAGATACCAAAATGGAAAATTAGAAAACATTGTTTCTTAGTTGTAATAAAATACAGTACGTAAAACTTGTGAATATAGTTAAAGTAATGATTAGAGGGCAGTTTGTCGTTTTAAACATGCATATTAGAAAAGAAAAAAAGATTGAAATCAGTGATTGAAACCTCATCTTAAGAAGCTAGAAACAAAACAGTAAACTTAACCCAACAGAGAAATCTTGTAGCCCAAAGGAGAAAAACCAATTAAGTTGGAATATGATTCTTTGAAAAAAAAATTGATAATACACAGAAGAGGACTGAATAAGGAAATTAGAGGATGCTAAATAAATTACCTGTATCAGGAATGAAAAGGAAAGTTTCTTTATAAATCCTACTGATGTCAAAAAGTAATAAGGGTATTAAGAATGACTGTAGCCCAATAAACTGAAATTTTTGATTAAATGCGAAATCCTTAAAAATACAACTCAGCAAAAGTTAACAGAGGCAGACATTTGAAAATCTATCATAAAGCTCTTCCCTGAGAGGGAAGGAGGGAAGTTCCCAGGTCTGGATGGCAAATTTGTCTAAATACTTGAGGAAAAATTAGTACACTCTTACACAAACTTTTCAGAGAAGAGAAGAACGAATGATTATGTGAAGAAAGACTTACTGCTGGACTGGACGGCTCCATGGTCTTCTCCAGGGACACTGGAAGTTGGCTATGGACCCTTGGCCAAGAGAAGAAGAGATGGGCCAGCTATTAATTTGCAGTGCGCTGCTTAAGGTGTAAAATTTCCCTGGCAGTACCTGGGCCACCTTGCCTCCATTGTTTAGGGATGCACAGATGGGATGGTTTACATCCAGTTAAACCAGTTACACGGCTTGGTTTGGCTACCAGTGGGGTATAAAATAGCCCACTACATTTTTTTCCCCCTGGGAATCTCCTGAAACCAATATTCCTTGTACTTACCATGGTGGCTGATAATTCAAAAACAAAGAGGAACTTGTGTGACTGACAAAAAGGACCCCAGCGGGCTACGTCTGGAAGTTCTCTGGCCTCTGGTGCTTTCTCTGCACTTTCTCCCTCCTGCTGCACCTTAACACAGAAATACACCCCAAGAGTCTGTGAGTTCTTTCAATGATCTGACCCTATACAGTTTACAAAACCGGCACCGCGCACAAGATTTTTAAAATTACCCTTGACGCTACAGTCTTAATCGTGGCTGTGGCTTTGTGTGGGATAAAGAAAAACGAGGAAAGGCAGAGGAAGGGGGACCAACTGGAAACTCAGAGTGGCCAGATGGGTTTTGTGGCCATTCCTGGGGTAAAGCCGCTGATGGGCTGCGATCGCTGACAAAAGGAAAAGCTTATCAGCGGGATCTGGAGCTGGTACATCTGGGGTCGGGGATGGATTACAAGCACATTGCAAAAGAAACACAAGCTGACTGGAGATCAGCCAAGAAAATGGTAACTTGGCTGCTTTGGGTTCTTTCGTCAACAATGAAAGTAACTAAGAAACAGTCTGAGGCTGCCAGGGTTGCTGAGTTACAACGGGTGATTCAGCCTGAAGAAGGGAGGACATAACATCATGAAGGATTTCGGTGAATATCTGTTCTGATAGGAATGCGGTCCCTGTCCAATGAGTGATCACCGAAGAGATGTCACAGGTAGCAGGGAGAGAGAATACAGGCAGGGAGAAACCACCTGAACGTGGGGCGCTTGGCCACGGTGCGAGCCAGCCTCCGGACGCCCTCTGCACTCTCTAATGCAATGGATTTTCCATATGGATATTTAGGAACTATTTTCCCTGCGTTGGATACCCCCAAAGTGGAAGGGAAGGCTTGGTCTTACTCAGGACCCTCAGTTAGGGCTAGAGTAGCAAGGAAGATAAAGCAAAACAAAAAACAAAACAAACTGCACTTGGAGGGAGGCAGGTTGTTTAGTTTCAAAGTGACACTAACCAGCAGAGAGTGGGTTTTCACGGACTGGATGGGAGATCTGTTTCTTGATCTATAGCCTGAGCCAACAAAATAATACACGATACAAAGGGACACATCTTACACATAGTGTTCAAAGTAAGCATGTATCTAGGATCTAAAAGATCTCAACGAATTAACCTTCTTCAATGTGGAATAAATTTTGTCTTCTCTTGTACCTTCGTATGTGCCCTTCAAAAGTATAAATACAGTAAGAAAAAGTGAAAAATAACCCTCGCCCCTTGTAATGCTCACACACATTGATACATGGAACCACGTCACCCCTGCATTTTGTGTTTCTGAAATTCAAACTGAACTTCTAACTTTGAGATTTAGCGTATTGGGTCCCAGTTCAGTTTATCATCTCTTTGGATTAGTTTCAGTTTTGGAATTCTGTGCTTCCCAGGGTCTTACTTCAAACAGATCTCTCTGATCTGTCTGTAACCTGAAGAGAGTCCGTGACAGAGGTTGCCCGTTCTTGACTGACGATTTATAAACCACCAGCGAGGAGCACCTGTTAGGAGATGCGAGGTGGGGCCGATCTCTGGGTATGAGCGGCTGACCTAAATCTACCGAAAACATTTTTGGTATTTATTTTCATAAATAAGAGTGTCTGTAGTAGAAATGCTAGAATGGGCTCATGGTCATCCAAGGAAGCCAGTTTGCAAGCAGGAGAATTAGGAGAGAAAAGTGAGACTCGGCGTCAGCTTCATATCTCAGGCTCCTTGGAGTCTAAGTACATTTTGGGACTTGTCTTTGCCCCTCACACCCGCCTGCTGCAGACACCAGGGACTCAGGGTCTTCGTACAGAGCTACAGTTTCCTAAAGTTTCTGAACACAGCAGAATTCTAGGGCTGTTCTCTACAGCCTCGTCCACTCCCCTCACCCCATCCAAAAAGCTTTAATGTGGGATAAATAAATGGGTCTCTGAGAGGAAAGAAAAAATCTTCAGGAATTCAGTGCCACGTTTCCTGCAGGAGGGCTCAGTGTTCACCCTCTGCTGTTCAGGTAAATATTTACCTACGTACTGTTCACAAATAATCAGCATGAATTAGATTCCATTTCATAAGATTTCATTTCTTGCACGTCACTTCCACCCATGCTGCTCCTTATGATTACGCCCTTGTGATGCATTAAAATTTAGCAGTGCGATGCACGGGTTACTTTTTTTATAATCCACTGAAAAAAAATATTTCCCTTCTTGTTATTTAAATTGTATTTCTCACTTTTCTGCTTTTTTCCCCTCTAACTCCTAATCATCTGTGTTCTGCAGCAGATTCAAGGTATAAAATATCTATGTTACTTTTTCAAAGCTGGTGCCACCCCTGAGTTGTTAGATAAACTTGGAATAAATGCATGGGTTTAGAATGAAAGTAAGCAATACATTCTAGCCCTGTTGCCCATCAGATTTGCCACATGACCCAACTTGTTTCTGTGTCAATTTCCCATTAATAAAGACACTGTTAATATCCAAGTATCGTATCCCTTGGACAATTTTTTGTTTTACTTTGTTTTAGGCAAAGTAATAACAGTGTCTGCTTTTCAAGGTCTCTGTGAAGGCTGGACAAAATAACGGAAGGCTAGGACAGGACGGGGCCTATGGTAGAGACACGGCACTTGCGTGGCAGCTTCTAAAGCAGGTCTCTTGTCTCTGGTTTGTTACTGTTTTTTCCAAGAAACCTACAAATAATCTTTGTTTTAGGTTTTTTGGAGGGGTAAAAGTGACCTTCAGTGTCTACAAGGCAAAACAGCTGTCAGGAAAAAAGCCGACATTTGATACCCAGTCAAAACCAGCAGACGTCTTTACCTTTCCCACCAAGCAGCCTGGGGGAAAAGCCTTAGAATTTCAGCGTGAAGTGAAGGGTCTCCTCTTGCGTGGGGGTCTTCATCTTCATCTGCAGCAGGTAATCCTTGCCAAATTTTCTCTTCAAGTGTTAGATGGAACCCATGCATCTGGAGCAGGAATGGTAAGTGAACAAGGCAACGAAGAGAAGCGTATTTAAGAAAACGCTCCTGTTGCGACTTAGCTAGTGCTGCAGACACCGTGGTCCTACCATGGATAAATCAGGAAGCAGCAGCCTCAGCTCCTTCCCAGGATCTGGCTCCTCCAAGAGCAAAACTTGCTTTCTTCTGCCCCAAGCTGCAGTGGTCAGGCGTTGGCTCTGGATGGGTGCTCGCCTTCCAGATACCACGATTGCCCTGTGGTGGCATGGAGCCTCAGTCTCTGCTGTGTAGTGGGCGGTCAGGCGGAGCCTCAGTCTGTTTCTAAGGGGGCCTGAATCACCTGCCAACACTGGCAAGAGAATACTGGCAACCAGTGGAAGTCCTGTGATTAATCTGAAAATGGTGGGAAGGATATTCCAAATGGCAGAAGAGCTGAGGCAGCAAGTCTCAATAAAGCAAGAGGGCAAGATAAAGCAAGGATGAGGACAGACAGATCAGATTCAGGAGGAAAATGAAATACTGAGATTGGAGGAAGGACGTGGGAAAAACCTAGTAGACGATTACATAAGAGAAAAATTCTGAGCAACAAAGGATTGTTTATGAGAAGGCAGAAGGAAGGTGAACAGACCCAGCAGAGCCATACAGCTGTCGGGACTCCCAGGAAGAAAAGGAACGCACAGCAAACGTACAGACCACAGTGTCCAGGAACCCCAGACTTCAGATGCTTCAAAAACTAGATCCGCAAGCTAAATATCAGAGCCACTGGATTCTCGCACTAACAGAAAACATAGCAGATGAAGAACCAAGTGAATGCTGAACTCTGAAAGCTTTTCCCCACCCACTCAATGAGATCTGGAAATAAAATGTGAGACAACATGCTATTTCGGAAATTATTAGTTAGTGCTTAATGATATGGATGGTGTTTGCTACATTTAAAACCGTTTTAAGGGACAGTTTTTGTTTGTGCAACAATACTAACAAAATTCACAGATTTCCCGCAGGGCCTCTGCGCGGGCCGTGACCGGGGAGCGCCCCTCACCACATCTGCAGCTGCCCCTCGGGGTCCATCCCCGTGGATGGCTCGTCCAGAAGCACCACCGACGGGTTTCCCAGGAGGC